CAGCAAAATCAAGCTGCCCTATGTGTTACACTCGAGCATCAAGGTGGTCTTCACTCCAAAGCCTGCGTGCATTTTGGAGAGGTGGGTGAGCTGCTAGAGACGGGCGAGCCGCGGCGCCCGCACCACGAGTACCCGAGCCACGGGTACCATCCTCTGTGACGTGGGATCAATCACAGTCCCCCATGGAGTAAAAAAAAACCCCTTCTCAGAGCACCCTGGGCACGGCAGCCTCGTGCCACGAGCAGGGGCTGCTCCCAGGACCCCGCACACGCACAAGGGCGGCTGCGGGAGCGGCGGCCTCGCCCCAGCCCACCCACCCCCCGACCCCAACGCCGAGCCGGGGCTGCGCCTTGGTTGCTGCTTGGGAGAAGCTTCCTCATCTGATGGGAGCAGGTTTCAGGCATGGTGAGGCAATACAGGACACCAGGAAGGGTTTCTTGCCCAGATGAAAGTCTTGTTATTTAGCAGTGGGGGTTCGCGATTCGTAAGCAACTTTCGGACCATTTTTCCTGTCTTGTTCACTGGACAGTGTATTGCCTGGAAGCTTTTGTACTTCCAGTCTTGTAGTGAACTAATAAAGGTGTTTTACAACATTATTTCAGGTTGTGCTTCTTCTTTTTATCAATCAACCCTTCTGTTTCCAGCAGGACAGATTAACTGGCTCATGCAAGTGCAAAACTCTTTGGTTTGACTTTATTAAAGTAGATCTTCTACAAGAACAGGGCAAGCTCTGGGGAGAGATCTGTAAAGTGTAAAGTAGTTCTTGCATCCCCTGGGTGCTGCCTGCTCTTCTGAACCTCATCTGCATCAAGTCAGGCAGCTTCACCTTTACTAAAACCTTTAGTAAAACCTTTAGTAAAACCTTCAGTAAAACTTTTAGTAAAACTACCACCCCCTGGGCAGTCCTACAACTCTTTCCTCCGGAGCTCTGCTTTACCCACCCACATTTCCAGGCGCATCCTGTTTTCCTCCCTTCATGGCAGCCCCACAACTCCCTCCTGGCCTGTTTTTCACCCAAACAGACCAGCAGGTTCAGGCTCTGGGGTTGTTGTCAGGCACAGAAACACACCATGGAAAGGAACCCTTTTGATGGGCCAACCTGTCCACTCACACCGGTGCAAGAGAGAGAAGCTGCAAACTGCTTATTAAAGGTGGGCTGAGCTGTTTACTCAACGTGTGACACTCCTCATTGCAGCAAAAATTAACTCCCCCACAAATGACCAGCACAAAACTTAACAGCGCTTTGGCTTTACAACAGCACCAGGAGGGAGCTGAGCTCAGTGTGGGCTTTCTAAGCCAGTCCCTCCTGTGCTTCCTTCAGCCCCTCCTCTGCACCCAAAAAGCAGCTCTGACAAGCCCAAGGTCTATTTATAAAGACAAAGTTATTCTGAAAAGGCTGTGTCAGAATTGCCAGCAGGCCGAAGACACCTTTCAAACCTCCCTGTCTCTCCTCCAAAGGATGTTTTTTCAGCCTCTAAGAAAGCAAATAAGAAATAATTAAAAACCAAACGTTGTGACTCTCCCTGCCCCAGCTCATGCATAATTAATTTATTTCCAAATAGTGGTGGCTGTTGAGGTGCCACAGGCACATTGCTCACCCTTGTGACGATATCCCTGGTGCTGGGAGGCAGCACAGCCTCCCTGGTGAGTGTGGGGGAGGATTTTTTGGGAGGGATGGGCCTGGGAGGCTGCAGGTCTGACTCCAGCTCCCAGCTCTGCCTCTGCCTTGGGGTGAGCTGGGACCAGCCCCTGGAGCCAGGTTTGTTCAGAAGAGCTGTAGCTGCACTAAAATGGTGGAATTAGAGAACAGTTTGAGTTGGAAGGCACATTTAAAGGACATCTAGCCCAACTCCCCTGCAATGAGGTGGGTACAGAATGATGGAATCATTAGGGTTGGAAAGATCTCCGGGATCACCGAGTCCACCCTGTGCCTGATCCCACCTTGTCCCCCAGCCCAGAGCACTGAGTGCCACGTCCAGTCCTTCCTTGGACACCTCCAGGGATGGGGACTCCACCACCTCCCTGGGCAGCCTCTGCCAGTGCTTGAAAAACACCTCCCACCAGCCCAGGTTGCTCCAAGCCCCATCCAACCTGGCCTTGTACACTCCCAGGGATGGGGCAGCCACAGCTTCCCTGGGCAGCCTGTGCCAGTGAACCCTCAAAGCAAAGAATTCCTTCCTAATATCTCCTTTAAGTCTCTCCTGTGCCAGTTCACAGCCATTCCCCCCCATCCCTGTCTCTGTTTTTTGGGAGCCCTTTGGACACTCTCCAGGTCCCTTCTCCCGCGTCCGGCAGCGCCCCCTGCCGGCTCCATCGGGAATCCCGGGAATCCGCCGGGATGGGCCCGATCCACCCCAAAATCAGAGGGAAAGGGAATGATGAGCTCAAAAGGCAGAAACATCCCCCTTGTGTATCCCCGAGAGGTGGGGCAGGAGACCCAAACGGCAGAGAAATTATATAAAACTCTCTCTCAGATTCCCAAAGGTCTTTTTTCCGCTCCACAGCGCTTATCCCGTTTTCCTGCAGCACCCCCCTGATCCCAGAACACCAGCAGGCTGCCTTAAACACAGGATATTTAAGGGTGATGCGTTTGAGACACTTTCTAAAGTTCTGAGGGGCTTTTTCCTTTGAAGAAAAGGAAGAACAGAAAGAAGAGAAAGGAGAGGAGAAGAAAGGATAGTAGGGAAAGGGAAGGAAAGAAGAGAAAGACAGAAAGAGAAAAAACAAAGAAAAGAAACAAAAGAAAGAAATTAAAATTTTAAAGAATCTTCCCATACTGGTAGAGCTGCACAGAGGTGCTTTGGGAATGACCTGGACACAAAGCTTCCCTCTGGGTACCCGCTGAGCCCCACTGCCCAGGGATGAACCTCCCCTCTCTGAACATCATTTCACAGACCCAGAGCCTGCCTAAGCACAGAGCTGGGAGTAATGATCCTCTTTTCCTCTCAGCCTTTTATTTCTGCTGCTCAGTGCTTTCTCCAGGAATGCATCTTCCAGAGTATTTTAGGATGTGATGCCTCCTTGGCCCCTGATCCCTCTTCCCTTAAGCAACAGCCAACTTTCTAACCTGATTATTCCACCTTGAATCCTGCCCAGCTCCAGGGGCATCAAACACGGGAGCAGATGGTAGCCCAGAAAAATCACATGGCATTTGCCTTTTCCAAGCCATCCTATTTCCAAATTTAGCCCAGAAAGAAATCCGATCAGCCAAATCCAATTCTAGCTGGGCTGTAAGTCTGGAAAACGGATTATGCAGAATGCCTGACATCAACAGCTTGCTGCAAACAGTTGAGTTGAGTTTGGGAAGAGATCAGAGGGTTTATACCTATTGATTTAAAAATAGGACCAAGGCTAAAGCAGCCTGTGATTCCCTGACAAAAGATTACACAACTAGTAAGAGGAACAGTTTTCCACTGGGCTGTGCCAGCACTGACATAGCTATATCCAGCAGTTCCATCCCAGATCTGCCCAGGCCAGAGGAGGTGGAAACATCCAGCTCCTGAACCCAAAATTCCTTGGGGTTCCTGCTTCAGCCCTGGCAGGGTCAAAGTAGGGGCATCTGCAGCGCTGTCAGCTCACTTTATTTTAAGCACCTATTTCAAATTCCATTGGGAAATGTGATTTTTTTTACTCATATTGTTATGCTTTTTGCTGTCATCACATGAAAGTTAAACAGAAGAGACTCATTCCCTATTCTGCCTTATCTCTGTCTTACCCAGCTCTTACACCAACACCTCCCCTAAATTCAATATATCAGTCTCACAGGCTACAGTTTCACTCAGATGCTCAGGTGCTTACACAGGTCTTCCCTTTTATGCTTAGCAAAAAAAAAAAAAAAAAAAAGAAATACTGCAAAACAAAGGGCTTTAATAAATATTTCTTTATTCAAGTCGTGTGTTTACAAAATTTCTACCAACAGCTGTACAAGTGCTCCGTGCTGGATGCCCTCTGCACCCCCAGGAGAGGGGTGCTGGCATGAGACCACCCAACAGCCCCTGCAGTGCCTGGGGCCGAGCAGAATTAGAGAATTTAAAGCATTTAAATAAACCAGCGACATGCAACTGCAGTAACTAAACTAAGCCACTTCAAAACGGTGCAAGGAGCGGAGTTTGTTACGTTGGTTGAGATGCTGAAATTCAAGGAATTAGAGATTTGTATCCTCTCATGAAAACGTTTCTCCGCAAGTTGAATGTTTTCATGCCAATGTTTCACAAAAGTGAATGTTTTCACGGGGGGGGGGGGGCTTTCAAGTCAGAAGAAAGATTTTCCTGTCAGATCTTTTTGGCTGATAAACTATTGACTTGAAAGAGCAGCACAAACCAGGATTCTAATCAGCTCTGATAAGTAAGCACAGCACAGACTAGTGTGTATTTACAGAGAACTCTTAGAAAGGCTATTTTGAAGTGGAAATCTATATGATTTGAACTCTAGCACTGATTATGTCTTATCCTGAACACTTCCTCCTGTTCCTGAATTTAACCACTGGCTAAACTGACGTGACCACAAACCAGCCAACTAATCAACTAATGACAGATAGTACACTCCTAATTAAAGGCCACAAAAAAGGGATTGTAAATAGTTTCATTGGTATGACCTGGTCCACTGACCTCAGGGGAAAACTAAAATAAAACAGGCAAACTCCTGTTATTTTTCCTGGTTACATTTCTCTTGTAAATGAGCCGGTAAAGCCAATCAAGGTGACCCAAAATATTGATTCAACCAACCCAAATTCTTTTTCCACATGGATATATGTGGAAATACGGGTTGGAACAGCAGAGCTCAGCCTGCAACGTGTGCAAATTTTGTAACTGTGGCTAAGTTAAGTCCAGTGTAAAACCACTGTACTGCTACATAACTCAGATTTTTGTCACTTTTTCTCTTCTTTTCAAGGCCAGGCTGGACAAGGCTTGGAGAAACCTGATCTAATGAGTGGCATCCCTGCCCTGGGCAGGGGGTAGGAACTGGGTGAGTTTTAAGGTCCCTTCCAACCCAAACCATCCTGTGATTCGTGATTAGGTGGTCCTGCCAATAAAGCAGCACAAATCCTCTCATTGCAGAGACGCTGCCAAGCAAAACTCTGCTCCTTCTTTATCTCTGCTCCCACAGAAAACTTTCCCCAGTGCAGTGAAAGCCCTGGAGCTCCTGGAGCTCACCCACCCCTCCATGGAACAGGGGCTGTTCCAGAGGGATGATTCCCTAAGAACCAAGGGCTCAAAGGGAGCCCAGTCACCTCTGTGCCCTTCTGTCCTCTAAATGGGGCCCTGAAGAGGAACAATTCCTGTGCTGCTCAGTGTTTGGAACAGCATTTATCCAGCCCCTCAGAGACCCTCTGAGCAGGCAGAAGGAGCACACCCTGGTCCACAGGAGGGAGGGGAAGGAGTTACTGCTCTCCCTCTCCAGCCCATGCACTGTTTTCCTCAGCTCTGTGTGTTGGCTTGGCTACTGCTCTAGCCCAACTCCCATTTTTGACAGCAGTAATCTGTTGGTCTTCAGTAATTTGACATTTTAGGCTACAAAATACCCACCCAGACATCCTGGACATCTCACACCTGCCAGAACCCCTCTGCTGGTGCCACAGGTGGTTTGTTGTGCTGTATCTCTGAGTGATGCAAACACCAGGACCGCTGCCTGGATTTCTTACCTCCCGATCCCGTCTGTCACCAGACTGAAAAAAAACCCCTGCTCAGGATCTGCTGCAGGAAGCCACAAAAGAAATACCAAAAAAAAGTTTGTTCCTTGGGGTGTAACCAAAAACCAGAGCTGGTAAACACAGTACTGTGTACACAGGAAGACTTATTCATGGGCCAAAAATAGTCTCTGGGTACCAGCAGCACGTGGGTTTTAGGTCGAGATACGGCTTCTTAAACCATCCCAAGTTTTCATCATCTGGATGCTGAGATTGGATTACAAGGGAAAGTCCCTACCACCCTAGAGGAGGAGTCACACTTGGAGTCAGCATCACTCTTTCAGCTGAATCAAAGCTGAATTTTCTCAAAGGGAAGCACTCTTCCTCCTCTGCTCACTGATCCATCCCCCGGGGTTCACATCCATTTGCAACATCTTCATCACCCACTTGTCTTTCCTGGCTCCATCAATGAACTCCTCAAGAGACAACTGCCCTGTGGATGAGATGAGGAGGACACAAGATTGCAGAGTCAAAAGGGGAGAGATAAGAGAAGGCAGGAAGCAAATGCCATCTGTGTCTCAGATAATATGCTAATCAGACAAGAGTTTGCTTCATTCCCCCACCTAGTTCAGGCCAGGGCTCTGAAAGACAAACCACAGGCTGTGGCCAGTGCATTCACCTGCCCCATCAGAACAAGAGACAGGAAATGTCTCAGCAGCTCCCCCAGGCTCCTCCAGGGCTGCAAGTCTGATCCTGCAAGCCCCTGTTGGGAACCACTGTCTTTATTCAGGCTGTTTGTGCTGGGACCAGGACCTGTCCTCTGGCTCCTGGGGGCTTTCAGAGGATGAGATCTGTGTGGCATCACAGTCCAGAAAGAACAGTGATTCCTCTGTGTTTTATGTTAAAATAACAATAACAATCATTTCACCCTCCTCCACCAAGTTACTTTCGATTCTATCAAACACACCAGAACCAAACCCAGGGAGTCTGTTATAACACAATAGTGCCAAGGGGTTTCTGGAGAGCCACAATCAAAGCCAGCCTGCCCAGCACAGGTAATTCTCATTAGACATGAATGCAATCTGTGCCACTGATCACTTACCATCCCCATTCTCATCCACTAACTCAAATATCCTGTCCACAACCTCCTCTGGGGTGAGCAATGGGGTCCTGTCCTCAATGTTCGACCAACACGCCCTCTTCAGCTTGTAGATGGACTGAAAAGACGGTCACAAATTAAGAAAAGAACTGGAAAGTGAAAAGCAGTGAGCTCCATTATCATCCCCAACACTGTAAAGGTCTTTTCCAAAGGCCGTGGGTTTGACCTTTCTGGAAGGATCTGCCACTCAGCAGCCTCAGATCTGGAATGAAACCCCTGACCTTCTGCCTGCACAGGCTGCGGATTTACCTCATCTGCTCTTTGAAACTGCTGCCCTCCCATTTTCCTCACACATATTGGTCAGGCCTCAGGGTTCCTTTGCAAAGAGCAAAGTGAGAGTTTCACAGATGGGAAAGTCACCTGACCTGACTGGGATTTTTTCGCTCACATCCAAAGCCAGGCATAGCTGGACTCACCCAGCCCTCTCTCCCCAGGAACTTGTGCCCAAACTGCAAGATCAAGCCTGCATTAGCACAGAGTTTGACCCAACAGCTTCTGTTCCCCTTTGCCACGGGAAGGGGTCAGGTTTTTATCTACTCCTCCCTCCCTTGACAGCCACCTGTTCACTGTTACCTTTACTCCTTAGGCTGAAGGGTTTTGTCTCAAATCACCCCAGAGGGGGGATTAGCAGTGGCCTAACACAGTTCTGGGCAGTTCTTAGCTGACCTCAAGACTAAAAATGGGATGTGGCCCAGACAGGCTGACCCCGTTCCCCCACACCTGGGGCTGCAGGTGACAACCTGCTCACGCTTCCCAGGCAAAATCTGCTTTCCCCACGTTCAGTTCCTGATGTGTCCTCGATACTGCGTTTCCCCTGAGATCTTAGAATGTGGGGGAACCACTGGCTGAGCCTCCCATGTCCTGCTGTGCAAGGGGAGCAGCACCTGAGGTGCTCCAGCACAAGCACCAAGGTAGTCCCATCAAGTAAGGGCACAGGTCCCCTGTGTCTGACTGTCTGCTGAGCCCCAGAGGATGGTTCAGCTTGGAAAAGACCACCCAGTCCAACTGTTAACCCAGCACTGCTGTGTTCACCACTAAACCATGTCCCCGAGTGCCACATCTACATGGCTTTTAAATCCCTCCAGGGGGGGTGACTCCACCACTGGAGAACCCTTTCAGTGAATAAATTCTCTCTAATAACCAAATCTAAACCTCCCCTGATGCAGCTTGGGGTGAGTTCCTCCTGTTCTGTCATTTGTTGCTTGGGAGAAGAGAAGGTGCCTCTTCTCACACCTTCACACAGTCACCAATCAAATCTAAGTGCAGAACTGCAGAAACCCAGAAAGGAACGATTAAAAATGGATTTCTGTGCTAATTTGTGCCACTCAGTGTGTTCTCACCAGCTACTCAGGGCAGGAAACAGCTCCTATAAAGGGGAATGGTGTGAAACCCTCTCCCAGCTGGCCAGTGAGATGAATCTTGGTGTAAAGGGGTTGAAAGGGAAGGCAGAGCAGAGATCCAGGATCTCTGGATAGAGCAGCAAGGGCCAGGTTGCCCACAGTGGGTATAACAGACCCCTCAGACACCCCACCAGGCTCCACTGAGCACAGAACCCCTTCCCCAAAGGTCAGGCATTTTCACTTGATCACCATCCTTGAAACCTGGTTCTCACAAGCCCCATACACATCATTACATTGCCAAAGAACAGGCATTGCTTAAATAAGTGATGAAGCAATGCCCACTTACCTCAACGATTTCCAGCAGCTCAGGTTTATCTATGCAGCCATTCCCATCCTTGTCATACACTTTGAACGTCCACCTCAGCTTGTGTTCCAGTTTTCCTCGTAAAACAAGATTCAAGGCAGCGACATATTCCAGGAAATCAATGGTGTTATCCTGCAGAAACAGAAAAGCAGCAGCTGGGTGACACCTAACTGGGGACAGTTGATAGAAAACTGCTTTAAAAGCTCTAAAAAACCTGGATAGAAGTTGCCAGAAAGGTATTCCATGGGACAGCTGTTTATTTGGCACTTTAAAGAAGGTCTGTGCCAGCTCAGCACCCTCAGTAAGCACAGCCATGCCCCTCTGGGGAGTCTGGCAGTGGGGATTCTGCAATTCTCCTGCAGTGCAACAAGGGGGGAAGGGACACCTGTCAGACTCCAGAAATGAGAGATTTAAATGCCCCACAAATTTACCTGAAGGAGAGGGAGGCAGATCATGGAATCACAGAATGGTTTGGGTTGGAAGGGACCTTAAAATTCATCTCATTCCACTCCCTGCCATGGGCAGGGACACCTCCCACTAGCCCAGGTTGCTCCAACACCCAACCATTACCCCTGTCCCCCATCCTTCTGTCTGGTTTTCTCTGGATTGAGCAGGAAGAATCTGACAATGGAAATGTCACCAATCTGAAGAAGGCAGCAAGAAACACCCCCAATAAAGGATTTACACCAGGATGTTCATCCTCCTAAAAACTTCACCCTGAAGGGATTCAGGGCACTCAAAAATATGGTCCTCATAAAGATCAACACCCTCCCCAGGGCTCAGCCAGGGCCCCTTTGGCACCTCCCAACCCTCCCCACCCTCAGCAAACCCTTGGGAGATTTTGGGCTGTGTGACCCCATCTGCCCACAGGCACCAAAGTGCTCCATAACCCCTGGGAGCAACAGCTGCTTGTGCTGCCCAGGGAGCACGAAAAGACAATTGAGAATTTGTTTCCATCTTCTTATTGTATTACCAATAATCCTTTAGGTGGTTAGGGCTTGCTCAACTGATTATATTCCAGCAAACTCCCTGCCTAAATTTAGTGTTCTTTATCTATCAGCATCCCCTAAAGATAGGCTTTTGGTCTCGTTAGGAAAGCTCCTAAAAACTAGGATTGGGACTTCATCTTTTAGGCACATTGTTTGCTCTGCACAACTTTCATAACTAAATCTGGGACATGAACCTTTCTTTTCTTGTTTTTGAGGAATGTGGGTTTTTCCAGCTTCAGATTCTGAGACAAATCTGACCTGCCCACGTATTCCATGAGGGTTTTTTTATCCTTTCTCACAAACTGACTTTTGTTGCCACCTCACTGTGATTTTTCCCCACTTATTTCAAAGGGAGCTTAAGGGAAATCAGTTTATCAGAGATGACTGACTTGTCTCCCCTTCTCCTGTATTGATATGTGGCAACAAACAACCCCCCACACCTGGAACAGGATCAAAAGATTCAGGAAAGAAGAACTGAACCACTTGGCAAGCATTGCTTACCCATGTCTAGATGAGAAAAGCAACTCTGTTACATTATTTTAAGTACTTAAAATATCCCAGGCCAGCATTAGGCTGCCTTTGGCAGCAGAGCCTGGGTATGTGTGAACTGTGACTAAACCAGAAAGCCCACTTTTTGCAGGTGCCTGATGACAAATACAGCAAAGGGAATCAAAACCAGAATGTCAGAATTGTTCAGCATTCCTTTGCTTTTGGAAGGCAAAGCTAAAATCAATATTTTGTTATATACCACCTGTTCATACTGTATATATAAATACACTTACTCCAACATACAGCAAACCTGAGAAGGACTTTCCTCCACTGTAATTCCCCCTTTATCACAACAGAGACATCATTTTTCCACGTAGCAACCTTGGCTACATGACGATCTTTCAACAACACCCTCTCAAAGTGGGACTGCCTAAAATTCAACCTTTTAATCCAGCCTCAGTCCCTTAAGGGGACATTCTGATCTTCCTTTGGGTAGAGATTTAGGAGAAGATAAGCTCACCCCAGCCCTGTGCAGCCCGTGCTCCTCCTCAAGCCTTGGTGTCATGAAGGGTGAGCACCGCGCTGAAACACCTCCAAAGCACAGGAAAGGACACGCAAACCGTGACACAAATAACTGCAAAAACTCCTCACCACTTACCCCGTTCTTGTCAAAAGCTCTGAACATGTTTTCAACGTACTCAGCTGCCTCCTGGTTATTCTGGACCCCGAAGAACCTCTTGAACTCGTGCATGAAGAGGGTCCCACTGGGGCACTCAACCACAAACTTCTTGTACCACTCCTGCAATTCTGCCACGTCGATCTCTCCTTGCTCCCCTTCAGCGTTGGCAAACTGCTGTCCCATTTTTGCAGGTTAAAAAAAACACAAAACCCAGAAGGTAAAGAGGGAAAACCTTCTCAAATTCCTTTTGCTTGTAATATCCTTTAGTTGCTGTTTCCTTGCTCTTTTTCTTCTGGCTGTCTTGTGCCTTTATTTGATGTTAATACTGTGGTTACTTGACCTCCTTTTCCGGTGTTTTATTTTCTTCTTCCCCTGCTCTTCTCTCCTGAGTTCTCTCTGCCCCAGTTCCTTGTGCACACTGGGTGATCCCAGAGTTGCTGCTCTGCACTAGAGCACTCTGGTCTCAGGCAGGTATAAAAGTAACTAAGATCATTAGGAGATTCCCTCCTATGAGCCCCAGAGACCTTCAGATGTTCTGAGCTGTGCCCTATTTAGAAACAAACTCCAGAGGGTCAGAGTCTTTCCATGCATTAATGCCTTCATGCCACAGAATTGGAGAGCTGAGGGTCCCTTGACACACAGTGCACAGCCCCACTCGCTGTGCTGGAGATTTTCAAGGGGGGGAAAAAAAAAAGATTTTAAAGGAAGTAGCTTTAGTTTTTTCAATGCTGGCTTGAGAAGGGGGTGGCTCAACTGCTTTAGTGAGATGGGGCATAAGAACAAACAACAGTTAGAGAGAGGAAATCCTGAAAAAGACTAACACTTCCATGAAAAAAAACCCTGCTAAGGCATGAAGTTAATTGAATGCCTACTACAGGCTGTGCTCTCTACAAAATAGTTGAGAGAAACACACTTTTTCCTCTTATTTTCACAACTCAGTCTTAGAACTTCAAGTTAAAAGTAGCAGGAACAGTTTATTTCCCTGTTTTTAAAAGAGTTCTCCCTTATCCCCTTGCCCTCTTCAGTGCCTTCATCCATGGAAACGCTCCAGTTCCCCCTTCCCACTGAACTTTGCTTATTGCTTTTATTGCAGATACACCCTGACCTCTGCCTGCTCAGCAACAGCCACAGCTCAAACCCTCCTCTCTCTTCACACAACCCACTCCTCCTTCCTTTTCTTGCAGGAGCCACCAGCTTTTACCCCCATCAGACTGATGGTTCTGAGTCCAACCATTATCTGTGTCAGCTGGAAAGAATGACCTGTAGCTATAAATGTGTCCGAGCCAGCCTGTTATCTTTATTAAGAGGATTGGAGCAGCATTAATAGGAAACAATGGACTCTCTTATTCTAATGCTGAGGCCCTGGAGGATTTAAGCTGCTCACTTTTTTTGGATCTTTGTTTTTTGGGTGGTTTTTTTTGGGTTTTTTTTGTTTTTTTTTTTTGCTTGGCTTTGTAAGGAGAGTCTCTCACAAGGAAGAATACTGGCTAAGAACCAGGCTAAAATTTGATATTGCAGAACAGCAGAGCCATTCATGCTGCACTGTAGGAACAGGCTTTGCTCTGAGTCCACTCACATCTCTGAGTAACCCATCAGTGATATTCCATGTGTATTCCATCAGGGATATGCCTGCAAATCCACAGTGCAGTATAACTTTACTCTTTTACATGTAGAGCACAACTTCAAACTTTTACATTTTTACATTTAAGTGAACCCATGCCTTGAGAGGTTTCACTGAAGAGAAAAGCAAGAAGAGGATATAAGACAGCTGAGCAGAAGCATCCCATGCAAGGGAAGGGCCAGAGAAGTTGCCAGAAAGATTATCCTATTTTAATTAAAATATTTTTATTAATAATTCAGAGTACTCGTGTTTTCTATCCTCGTGCCTAGAGGAATTCAACACATTTAATGAACTCAGTCCTTCCTTTTGTAAATGTTTCAGCCAAACTTCAGGCCCCGACTCAGGTTTCTTTTCCACAGCAGAGCAGCTTGAGGAAAAATCAGGAAAAATAATAGTAAATCCATCCCCCAGTGTTTCCCTCTTAACTAGACCCACTGGAAACAAGCCTGTGGCAGCCACGGTGGTGTTGATAAATTATTTTATGCAATTTTTTCAGTCATCCCACGGGTAGCATCTGGTGAGGACATGGGTTCTCCCAGGGTCACAAACAGCTCCCAGGCCACAGAGGTGCTGCCAGGACAGGGCTGGGGAGGACTCATCTCTTTTCCTGCACACCTGGGGGAGTTTTGGATGCGCCCGTGGGGAGCCTCCCACCATTTCATGCTGCTCTCCTGCCTGCTGGAATGTGAGCGCTCAGAGCACACGACAAGACTCCACATGCCCGGGACGTTTTGCCTCGGCTCTCTCTCTCTCTCTCTCATTGCATAATTTTGTTTTGCCTCGTGGGAACTCGGTGATCTGTTCCCAGGAGAGAAAATGGTTCCTCTTTTGTTTTGATGACTGCAGCCTTCCCCGGGCGAGGAACAAAAAAAAAGGGTTGCAGGAGGCCCAGGGTTGCAAAGCCTGACTGCTGTTCCTGTAGGTATCATGACATATAATAGTGTTGATAAAAGCAGTGATGCTGATTTGGCACTGAAATAAAGCAAATCCTATAGCTGCTGGTATGGGAATTCATCTGCACATCCTCTGGTGATGTGTGCTCTGCAGAGTGCACTGGAAGGGTCTCTCAGCCAGCACGACGTGTCGCTTTGTGAGGGACAGTTCATCAGCTGAGTTATTTCTTAATTGGATTCGAAGCAAATGAGGCAGGTAGAGGTAAATATAAGCAGAGAGAAGTAAAAATAAAAATAATTCTGTCTAGAAAACGCTACACTGAAGAGTTTGGTGCTTTCTTGGCTGCCTGAAGGAATAGGATCAATGCTCTGTGCGTTATGCCAGAATCAACACTTTGGATGATTACTTACAAACAGGTAACATCTGATTACATGGCCTGCCTAATGAGTTATCCCAAGATTATTACCCATACAGGTCCAAAGCTGTGGAGTTTCCCAGCCAAGAGCATGGAAAAAAAGACAGCTTATTTCCCGTCAGCTCAGTACCGAACATGCTGCCACACGCTTCAGCAGAGGCTGGGAGAAACTCAAGAGGGGAAAAAAAAAACCACCAAGCCCTGCAGAGGGCTGGGAAGACTCATTTGTTTGGCATCTGCTGCTGCTTGGGAGGCTGGAACAAAGGCAGCAGGGTGCTGGCAGGAATGAGGGGACCAACTTCAGGCAAACTGGAGGCAAAATGAGACCTTCTTCCCAAGCTGGAGGAGTCCTCCCCTGGTTGTTTTGCCACGTTGCTCCATTATTTTAAATCCCCCAGCCCTGACCTGCCCCAAGACCCCTCCTGTGGGTTGAGCACCTCAACTGCCCTTCTGATGGGCCCAGAAAGAGCAAAACTGTGCCCGGGGCAGCTCCCACCACTCCTCACAGCCAGCCAGGGAGTGCAGGACAGGGAGCAGCATCACTGCCGGTGTCATTCCCAAAGCTCCCCGAGCATCCAACCACAAACAAAGCAAACCTGAAGCATCCTTAGATGTGCCCGTTGTCTCCAGGCAGGAGGGAGGCGTGGACAGCAGGAATGCAGGGAGGATGAATGGCAGCTTTTGTGCTGAGCCATCTGAGGAGAGATCAAAAGATCCTTCCTAGTTTGGCTGGGAGTTCAGCCCAGCACCTCCCTGAGTCTCTTCCCAGTTGCTCCCAAGATTGTCTGTCCCCTTGCACGGTTTTATACAGCAGAATGTGGATGTAATATATGTATTATTGCATTACAGGTGTAATGCAATGCCCCTTGGTTTACATATTAAAGTGAAGTACAACCAACCAAACCCATCTCACCCCCCATTTTCTGTGTCACCCAACACACTGACCTTGGAGTGTCACCTTCTGTCTCCTGTTTATTGGCAGAAGGGTTGGATTATGTGCTGTCAAACTCCTGCTAACCTTGTCCCTGAGTGGCACTCCGTGCCCAGTGAATGAAGCCTGAGATATTTACCTTGCACTTGGCATCTCACAAGGCAAACTTTCCAAGAAAAACGTCTAATTGCTTTCTCTGGGTGTGAGGATTTCCAAAATCTCGCAGAGTTCCAAGCCCTTGGCTCGGGACTGAGCTGTGGAGGTAAGTCAGCCTTTCCAAAGGCAGGACTCTATTTAGTGATCATGATGATCATGGGAAGGAGAAGGGAAATTCCCACTTTTTTTTTTTTTTATTTTCTGGTTCATTGAAACTGAATGGTAAAGTCTTGTGTGATCCTTGAAACTAAGATTCACCACTGAGTCACAGCCCTCCACCTACGAGGAAAATAAATCAGGTGTGAGGCTGGAGGGGCAAGAGACTTCGGAGGGACCGGGGGAGATGCTGCTGAGCCCCTTCCCAGGGGTAGGTGTGATCCCAGAGTGGGGATGGAGGTGGGAAAGAGGGATGTTTTTATGCTTTCCAGAAAAAAACCAAAACCTCCCCAAAAACCCTAACAGGAATGTTTTGTTTCCTTTCCAAGATATTCCATTTAAAAGGGGAAAAAAAAAAATCCCATTTAAAAGGTAATTTTCATTCCTAAATATGCAATTTACGAGGGGAAAATATACCTCAATAGGAAATTTTATATTCTAAATATTTAATTTGAAATGAAAAAATATATCCCCTTTAGAAGGAAATTTTCTTTCCTAAACATTGAATTTGAAAGGAAAAAAAATTATCCCATTTAAAAAGAAATTTTCTTTCCTAGATATTCAAATTAAAAGGAAAAAAAATACATCTATATCCCATTTCAAAGGAAATTTTACTTCCTAAATATTCCATTTAAAAAGAAAGAAATATTTCCCATCTAAAAAGAAATTTTATTTCCTAGATATTCAGTTTAAAAGGAAAATATATATATATATGTATATCCCCTTTAAAAGGAAATGTTACTTCCTAGATATTCCATTTAAAAGGAGGGGGCAGAGGGAAGTTTTAAAAGGAAATTTTAATTCCTACATGTTCCATTTAAAAAGGGGAGGGGAGTTTAAAAAAAAAAAAAATTCCTTCCTAGATATTAATTTAAAAAAAAAGGTTTTGAAAGGAAATTCTACTTCCTACAAATCCCATTTAAAAGGAAAAAGGAAACTTATTTTCCTAAATATTCCATTTAAAAGAGGCGGGGGGAACCAATCCAAAATGACTTTTTTTTTTCCCCTAAACATCCCTTTTTTTTTTTTTTTTTTTTTTTGGGGGGGGGGGGTCCTTTGCTTGCTTACCCCCTCCTCTCCCCTCCCCTGCGTGTCCGTGGGCGGGGCGGGTGTCGCGGCTGCGCCGGGCGCACCTGGGCAGGTGAGGGCGGGGCGGGGCGGGGCGTGCCCTGAGTGTGCGCGGCCGCCTCGCTCCCCGAGCCCACGCGCGGGCCCCGCGGGGCGGCCCCAGAGCCCCCGCGGGCGCGGAGCCGCTCCCCGACCCGCCGGCGGACCGATAGACGGACGGACGGACGGACGGACGGAGCGGGTGAGTCGCGCCGGGATGGGATGCGGCGGGACGGGAGCGGCCGCGGGATCCGCCCTTCCCGCAGCTCCCAGGCGGAGCGGGGATCGCCACGGGGAGCGAGGGGATAGTTTGGGTGGGAGGAAAAAGCCAACAGGACGCGAAGGGGTTCCGTGGGATGAAAGCTCGGCGGGAGCGCCCCGGTCCCGGCGGGATGGGCGGTGGTGCGGGGTGGTGGT